ATCGTATTGTCAAACCTCCTCCTCCTCCTCCTACTACTGCTGCTGCTGCTGCTACTACTACTACTACTACTACTAGTACTACTACTACTAGTACTGCTACTACTGCCTGCTGCTCCCGCTCCTGCCCCGCTGCTCAGCTCCTGCCGGTCCTAGTCCCAGTCCCAGTCCCAGTCCTCCTGCTGCTCCTCCTGCTCCTGCTCTGCTGCTCCTGCTAGTCCCAGTCCTAGTCCTAGTGCTCATCCTAGTCCCAGTCCTGCTTCTGCTCCTGCTGCTGCTGCTGCTGCTGTTGTTTTTCTTATTGTTGGCTTGAAAAGGCTGTGGTCTTGGCTCGGAGTTTGTCATGTGTTGTTGATGTGCATGTCGATCGGGATCCCGGTCGGTCCCACGTTCAATATCCAGCTTGGAAGAGCGACCATGGGTGACCAGTGACCAGAACACCGGCAGATAGTAAGAATCCCAAATGAGACGGCGATTGACACCACGACAGGAGGTCAAGACACACAGAGACATGCAAACAACAAGGAATTCTGTCCGGCACAACGACTGAGACGCAGCAGAGATGTGTCTGTCTCCATTGCTGTCGGTCTCACTGGAATCTTACCCGGCAGCAGCGACCCAGACCCGAGCACTGTTTCGACCTCGACCTGAGACCCCTAAACCCTAAACCCTGAACCCTAAACTTCAACCGTTGAGGACCTCGCTGCACCGCCCGCCGCGGCGAAGCCGATGGCCGAGGCGCCAGCGCCGGCACCGTCGGCCGGGAGCCGAAGGAAGAAGGGTTTAGGGTTTAGGGTTTAAGACATGCGAGGGAGACGGGGTCGGTCTGCAGGTTTTTGCGGTTTTAGGCCTTAAGGGGGTGTTGGGGGGTTCAGGGTGTTCGAGCGCAGGATGGTTTCATGCGCTTTGCTGACTGGATGGTTAGACGATTGGCGGTTCAATGGGCTTGTTCGGATTTGGGTTTCGGACATGAAGAAAGATTTGTTGACGACCGAAAAAATTCTCTGAGGAGGTTGCAAGTCTCTTCTCCGGATGCCTTCCCTGATCACTACTTTCAGAGGTCGACTTGCTTGGCCTGGGCTGACGTATGGATGCTGCGACTCTTGGGACAAAAAGACACCTTTGCCCAGCTGGTGCAGGCCCAGCTTGCTCCGTACTGCAGTCATTCACCCATCCATTGCTGAGATGCGCAAAGATACACGCCAAGGCTGCAGCGTGGCCCCAGGCGGTGCAGTTGCTCTCGGAGAGTGGCTTGAGGCCCAGCCGGGTTTACAGGATTTCACAGCGCTTTCCAGAGCCCTGGGTGTCGGAGCAGCGGAAAACTCTTCCCACTCTACAGCTTCTAGCAGTAGTTCTTGGAGTATTATAGTGTTTCAGTATTCGTAGTGTTACACTTAGAGCAGTTACAGTATCAAAGTATCCCTGATGAACAGGAACCTTTCCCCAGGAAGCCATGCGAACATCATCACCTTCAATGCGACAGCAACGGCTTGTGCCCGGGGACGACAGTGGAAGGCAAGCCAGGGGCAATGAGGGTTTAGGGTTTAGGATCTGTGAAAATATCCCTAAACCTAAACCCTAAAGCCCAAACCCTAAACCCTACAAATCGAGAAGTGTACCAAAAAAAACCCTAAACCCTAAACCCTAAGTGTCATAAACCCGAAAGCCCCCGTTGACCCGGCGGCAGCTTTTCGAAACCTCTGAGGAGGCCCCCCGCACACAGCAACGAGAAATTGACTGGAGATAGACCGAGTGCAAATGCAACAAATAATAATAGTAGTAATAATAATAATAATAGTAATAGTAATAATAACAATAACAACAACAAACGTAAAGAAAGTAGTGCAGTGAGAACAAAAAACTCAGGAGGCAAGAAGAATAGTGATGCCAATCGTCGTTCGAACTGTTTTCGGCTACAGTCCTGGCTCAGGTGAGCTTAGACCTCGTCCAGGAAATGCTTCGCCGGGGAATTGAGCCCAGCCCGTGCCCAAGAGATGCACACCTACGGGCATGCCCTAAACCCGAAAACCTCAAACCCCAAACCCCATAAACCTCAAACCCTAAAGCTTCAACCCTAAACCCCGAACCTTAAACCCCAAAGCTTAACCCTAAACCCCAACCCTTACACCATAAACCCTTAAGCCCTAAATCCCAACCCTTAAACCCTAAACCCTTAAGCCCTAAATCCCAGTCTTTCCCAGGCCCGTCGACCTGGGGGGCGCAGGCAGCCGCCTGTGAGCGAGGCGACGCCTCGAGAGAGAGCGAGAGCCAGGAAGAGCGAGTGACAAAGGGTTTAGGGGTTTAGGGG